CTTCCGATTCTTTCCCCCATCCCACCGCGGTGGGGGGGAGGGTGAGCGAGCAGCTGTGTCGTGCTTGGTTGCCAACTAGGGTTAAACCACAACAGTCCTTTTTGGCGCCCAACATAGGGCTCGAAGGGTTGAGATAATGACAGATCTGACCAGAGCGTGTTAAAATAAATTTGTTATAAGCATTCATTTATATTAGTTAATAGTCGCTGGTCACAATGTTGTTTTATTTGTTTGCATGGTTGTGTTATATAAATCCTCACTTGCAGTAGGTATTCCCTGCGGTACTGTTCATCATTTCTGGGAGACGGGTCAGGATTATCATTTTGCTGTACTGTGTAACATCAATTTATGGTACAATAATATTACTGGTAAAAAGACTAATTTGTATTTGTATTTGGTATTGTTGTCATCTCTGTACCTTGGGTGCCATCTCTTGGAAATTATTAATAATGACACTCTTCACCTTTTCTCCTCGGAGAACCAATTTATGGGGAAGACAGGGGGGGATGCTTTCCCCTGTTCTTTCACCTTCCCTTTCTTCTTCAGGCTAGTTATACCAGCTTTCGAGAATTTTGAATATCCCTGGGATGTTCAAGCGAGCATGCTCCTATTGCTATGTCTTCTGAATGTGTTTCAGGTCTTGTTTAGGGTTAAACAACTATTTAAAAAAATCAACCAGAGATCTGCCCTGAGGCCGGATGGTCATGGGTGGCACGGCATGTGGGAGAATACGAGCAGGTACTTAGAGAACTTCTCACCTCCAGTGGTCTGGAACTTCAGTCCCGAACAATTACAAGATCCTGATGCAGTGATAGAATGCTTGAAAAAAAAAAACGCTGTGGTTATTCCAAAGAGGCACAACCTATTGCACTGTGCTGGGCCTTGGCTAGTAACTACCGAACGCTGCTTGGTATTATGCAGCACCCTCAGGGAGAAGAGAGGGAAAACAAACCGACAGGCGCTGTGGCTACTCCAACCCCCACGACAGGCACTGTGGCTACACCAACCCCGGCAACAAGCACTGCAGCTACTCCAACCCCGGTGACAGGTACTGCAGCTGAACCAGAGAACCAACCCGTGCCAGTATCAGTCGCCCCTATACACAAGAAGAAATGCTGGAAGCGAAAGTCAGCTCGTTTAGTAAGGGATGATGAAAAAGCAGGACTATCATGAGGAGAGGAGGAGGAAGAGGAAGAACTCATAAAGGAGATGGAAACCACCTGATCCCTATCCCTGAGTGAGCTGCGAGATATGCGAGAAGATTTCAGTCATTGTCCAATTGAGCATATTGTCACTTGGCTGCTCCGATGCTGGGATAATGGGGCCAGTAGCCTGGAATTAGAGGGTAGGGAAGCCAAGCAGCTGGGATCCCTTTCCAGGGAAGGGGGCATTGACAAAGTAATTGGAAAAGGGACACAATTCCTCAGCCTTTGGAGGCGACTCCTGTCAGGTACAAAGGAAAAATATCCCTTCAAGGAAGATGTTCTATGTCACCCAGGCAAGTGGATCACCATGGAGAAGGGTATCCAGTTTCTGAGGGAATTAGCTGTGCTGGAGGTGATTCATGGTGACCCGGACAATGAACAGTTATCTGAAGATCCAGATGAAGTCAGGTGCACACAACCCATGTAGTGGAAGTTGGTATGGAGCACACCATCATCATATGCCAACTCACTGGCAGTAATGACTTGGAAGGATGAAGAGGGACCAACGGTGGATGAATTGGCCGGCCAACTCCAGGAATATGAAGAAAGTCTCTCTTCCTCCCTTGTCTCGGCTGTGGAGAAACTGGTCCAGCAACTCAAAGAGGATAGGTCCTACTCCCCACCTGTATGGACCAGTATCTCCGCTATTAGGAATCAGCATTCTGCTCAAGAGAGAGGATATAGTGGATACACACCATGGAGCACCGTGTGGTTTAACCTGCGTGACCACAGAGAGGACATGAGGAAGTGGGATGGAAAACCTACCTCGACCCTAGAGGCACGGGTACGTGAGTTGCAAGGAAAAACAATCACAAAAGGGGGTTCTTCCAGGAAAATTGCAGCTCCAGTTTCCAGCGGGCAGTTCCCCAGACAGAGTAGAAGAGCTGATCTTACTCCTGATCTTAATGAAGGGACTTTTGATTCACATTTACAAGTGAGTAACGGATAACATGACCAGAACTAGAGG